TATATGTAGAAGAAATAATCAAGTTCGCGTTTTTCAAACCAATTGTCGTCAGAGGATAAAAGCACACCTCCAACAATGTCATCGAAATTAAAACAAAAACACCAACTATCTGATTGAAAATCAAATATGTGCTCATTTACATTCACTGAAACCCGGGAAGTGAATACATTTATATAGGGGAATAATTAATTACGAGAAATGTAATCAAATATAGAGAAAATACCATATGATTGTTTTGATTTGAACTGGTGACCACGGCATCAAATCGCCTAGCTACATATCACAGCCAACTCGGCCAACGGGCATCCCTAAAATGATGCGTAATAACAGAGTTTATTCGACGCCGAGAACGTGCAACTCTAAGCTCAATCGAATAGCACACGGTATCTCGGGCGGTGTCATAACGCACGTCCCAGCGTGACTTCTACTCTGCCGTTTAGGGGTAATGTTTGTCTTTTGGATGGCTTAGATGATATGCTAATTTGATATGTCTCTTATTAGATGTTTTATTTGTAAACACCCAGTACACTGTAGAACAATAATATTTTTAGTGTTGATTTTTGTGTTTTTTTTTAAATAAAAGTTTTTTTAAATATAATTATCATTTCGTCTTGTGTTGATTGTGTACTGCGTAATTTTCTGAAGTATTCTTTTTCAATCGGAAGTTTAGAAAAAAATTGTCGTGTGACATTTATGTAAACAATACCACATACAATGCCACCACACCCGATCTTCCTTCAGATAATAATAATAATAATAATATATTTATTACTCCGTAATGTATAATAACAGTTCATCTTAAAGCGGGTGAGTCGTCACCTGCGCATGCGTCAGATGGCCATAGCGTGTCATTGTTACAAACAAGCGTCTACCCATGAGTCTTTGCGTTTTTAATCGTGTGTTATCGTCGCTTGGGTCTCGATTCCCGCGCGTGCGCAGGTGACGACCCTCCCGCTTTAAGTATAGACAAGTAGATATGCAAATAAGACAGATCGGCGCCAATGTTATGCATTGAGCGAGTTCGACTTAAAATATGCATATCTTTATAATTGTTTACTTATCTCATACAGATCTGTGACGTTGGAATCACTGGTTTGGTGTTACTCATCTAGTCATACATTGACGTACAAGTTCCCCTAAGTGAACCATTAAAGATTCAAAAGATTATCCAAACATTCCAGCTGATACCACACCAAGAAGGAGGATATTTCAAAGAAACATACCGGTCGGGTGCTAAACCTATGGCGTCACATGGACTAACTGACGATAGTGGCGATCTGATGAGACCTGGCGGAGACAGAAACGCAGTGCGTAATGTCTGCACATCTAAAATCTATTTAATAACGAAGAATTCTCCTATAGCTTACCTGCATCAAAATAAATCCGATATTGTGAGATATCACCAGAGTGGTGGGACGGTTCTGGTTTATACAGTTTCACCTGACGGTAAACTTCATCAACATAGACTGGGGATGCATTTCAATGCGGGAGATGTTCTGCAAGTGGTGACGCCCGGTGGCTTCTGGGAAGCCTTGGAGCTTGTTGATGGTGACTGGGCTCTACAAGGGGAAGCTGTGGCTCCGGGCTTCGACTACCGCGACATGATTCTAGGAACAAAGAAAACACTTTCGCAGTTTTCAGAAGATATTAAAGATATTTTACGTTTGCATCATGCTGGCATTTTAACACCACACTGCGAAAACGGAAGCAGGCGTGGGAACCCACGCCGACTCAAATTTCTTTGTTCCTGC